TGTGTGAATGAGAGTGTATGGTTGTTTCACAGTGATGGGTTGAATCTGGAAGGGCATCTGCTGCTTAAAACACATGCTGGATAAGTTGGCAGATCATTCCGCTGTGTTGACCCCAGACTAATAAAGGCACTAAGTTGAAAAGAAAATGAATGAATGAATTTAGATAATGCTTATAGAACCAATAATGTGAGAGTATATGACTGGAAAAGAGCAACCTATATTCAAGTATACAGATATTTGTTAAACATATTTCCACTACTTTTCCAAAACGTTTCCATCCATGAAAAATGCCATGTCAAAATTCCAGGACTTTTCCATGTTTTACATGACCGTAGGAACCCAGCACATCACAAAAACATCACTCCTGAAAAAAAAAATGAACCTCCGAAATGCAGTTTTCCTACACTGTAAAAAATGCAGGGTTCCACACAATTCATTCATGTTGTCCCAACACAAATCTGTTAAGTTAACTTAACACTTTTAACTAATTTATGTGGATTGAACATAAAAAAATTAAGTTATCCCAATGAAATCTTAAAAATTGTGTTGTTTCAGCTCATTTTAAATAAGTAGTTTGAACGAGCAAAAGTAAATATTTTTTGAGTGTATATTGTCATAAAAATCTGCTTAATCAAAGGTTCTCTGTAATAGTTTATGGTCAATAGTTCAAAATATATGGTAAAAGCATCTGAAAAACTTTTGAGATCTAAAATCACATCTCGTCAGGGAAGTCCTGGCTCACCATCAAAATGCCCTCCTTAAAAATGTCTTTCTCATCTTCACGTGGCTGAAAAAAAAGAGACTCAGTCGTGGACCAGATTCCTCTTCACTTTAAACATTCATTCATTCATTCATTTTCTTGTCGGCTTAGTCCCTTTATTAATCTGGGATCGCCACAGCGGAATGAACCGCCAACTTATCCAGCAAGTTTTTTTACACAGCGGATGCCCTTCCAGCCGCAACCCATCTCTGGGAAACATCCACATTCACACCCACACTCATACACTACGGTCAATTTAGCTTACCCAATTCACCTGTACCGCATGTCTTTGGACTGTGGGGGAAACCGGAGCACCCGGAGGAAACCCACGCGAAGGCAGGGAGAACATGCAAACTCCACACAGAAACGCCAACTGAGCCGAGGTTCCAACCAGCGACCTTCTTGCTGTGAGGTGACAACACTAGCTATCGCGCCACTGCCTCGCCCACTTTAAACATATATTAACAAAATAAAGAACTCATTAGCATTTCAAATGTCAAAGAAATAAATCATTGTTCTGTTCATCAAACAGTTCACAGTAGCAGCTTGAAAACTAAATAGTAGTTACAGGGCTGAGTTATAATATGATATTACAACACAATCTCACGGCAATTCGTAACTTTTTCATTTAGTGGCTAATTCGTATGAATTTGTACGATCTAATTCGTACAATTTAGTATGATTTGCTCATCCCCCAATGACGGTTGGGGTTAGGGGTGGGGTCAGATGCCACGCCTCCTTTTTAAAATCGTACCATTTCGTACGACTGAACTCGTACGAATTCGTACGAATTAGCCACTAAACTGGCAAAACGTAAAATACTTACGTTTTCTCGTGAGATCAGCCTGGATATTATCATATACTGACAATATTTACAGAGTATGGCGATGTCAAATATGACAATGAATTATTGGGCCATAATCAACATTTTTGGGGAAAAATAAATATGATAAAGTTATTGAGCAAATGTGAGCAAGATGAAATGTAATCATCATAAATTGCATTGACATGCAAATGGTAAAGCTGTATACATTATAAAAAAACAATCAATTAAGAAATACAATATCAGGGCTCAAAAATAAGAACTGCCCAATGGCAGGATTGTTTAATTTGTCTGCTACTATTTGTCAATTATGCAAATTCAGTCTTAAAATCCAAAAACAGTTTGTGCTTTGAAGCCTTTAAATGCTACCTTGTGATGTCGTAAACACCATGTTGCTTTTCGGATGTTATGAGCACATTATTTTTTCCTGTAACATGATATCAACCAGGGGTGCGTTTCCCTTACAATAACGTAACTCACGGCTGAACTATCATAGTACGATACATCGTTTGAGAAAAGAACGATGTACTTGTTTCCCAAAACCTGTAGTTTCTCTGTTGCAGATCCATCGCTTGAACCACGTTAGTTATAACGTAAAACGCCCATAATGACGCTCTAAACTGGGCGGAGGAACTACTTTTTTGGAGAAGAACCCCATCATTTCTTTGTGCAAATTATATTGTTTTACACAAACATGCATTTAAAATAAAATCCAATATTAGTTTTGGTAAAAACATGCACTCGCTTTCCATATTAACTGAAATATATGTAAATGCCACATATAGAGCCTTTGTTTCCTTTACAAATATTATTGAGAATATGACATCCTATTCTAAAACAAATCACTTACAAAAGCTAACACGTATTCTAATATCATATATAAATCATATGAATCAATAAGTAATGAGGCCATTATAAAATTAAATTTAATATTTTTATTATATATTAGAAAATGAAAAAATCCTAATGTAATATTAATATTAATAATATTAATGATCATTATGAGGATGATGATGATGATGATAATTATTAGTTAATTTAATTATTATATATTAGAAATAAAAAAATCATAATTTAATAATAATATTAATGATGATGATGATGATAATGATGATGATGATTAAGTAGGGTATTGTTTATTATTATTATTTTTTTTAGAAAAGTCTACTTTTACAATTTGACACTTGTAAACCAGCAGGCCCATATCATGTATAGTACAGCTACTTAATAAATAACCCACTATCAGTTAAAAGAATTAACGTACTGTATGCTTTTTGTTTTCACAAGCTTTGGAGACGTAACATATATTGCCCTTTTAAATAATAGGTCACCTATAGCTTTCGCTTGAGGCTGTGTTCAAAGTGACATCCATGTTTTCAAAGTGCACGAAGGGAACACAATTGTATACATGAAGATCGCTAAAACTGAAGTGTAAAAATAGTTTGAAAGCAAATTACACCTAAAGAAGATGGCCTTAATGCTTTTTTATTTTTATTAATTCTAACTTTGAATATTAGAAGGTTCTTAATGAATAGGGCATAGGGGGGATAAGTGGCAATAGAACACAGCTAGGAACTGTTTTTGACTACAGCTCCAGAGCTGTAGTTGCGAGTGCTTGAGTTTGCTACGCAGTTTGCGAATGTTCGTTGAATCGACGGATTTGGGAAACGGCAAATTAACAAACTATGCTTGTAATGACAGTCCTTGCGACCTTAGTTGGCTAACGATGTTTTTGGGAAACACACCCCATAGTGAACAGTGCAACAGTGCAACTCTTTTTAGCAACAGTGTACAATCTGTAATTCAAACACCTCTGAAAAAAATTATGCCAAAAGTTATAAATCAATCATAAATCATTGCTCATACAGCATTAAAATGAATCCTAAAATGTTTCTTCATCTATTAAAGATTTTAAAAGCTACACCAATTTATAACACTTCAAACTGTAGTCTCTGTGTGCTGCTAAAACAGGGATTTATGGCTCGAAAACAGAATCTTTTTAAAGAAAATGGTCTAAAAATATGGAAGCTTTTCAATTTTTATTATTTTTTTGTATCAAGCTAAACATAAACAAAATGGTACAAACAATATTAAATACCGTCATCTCAAGGTTGAGTAATGAAATAGGCAAACATAATATGCGGCTCAAGGATAAAAAAAAGAACAGTTTTAAAATAAATTGCAATGAAACAAAAATTATATTAAAATAAAAATAATATACAGGCTTTGAAAATTTAATTTAATTATAAAAGTCCGGAAAATACATAAGCTTAAGGGCTTTTTTTTCCATTCACCAATTTTACAGATTTGCAAAGAAGTTTTACCTCATTCATCCACGGATTAAATTTAGGAGTAGATTTGGACCATCTGCATTTGTCAATAAAGAATTTTCCAAAACATAATAGAACATTGACAGCAAAATGAAAGCCTTTGTTTTCAAGTAAGATACCAAACTTAGCAGTCTTTACAGTGAGTGGAGGGAAATGTAACACGTCTGTACCTCTGACTGAAAGGGAAACATCATGTCACAATGATAAAAAAACATGTTCCAAACTCTCCATCTCTTTTTCACAAAAAAAAAAAAATAAAAAATAAAATAAAATAAAAAAAAAACCACAATCATTCACATCAAAATTAAATTTTAATCTTGAAAAAATCTTTGGTAGGATAGATCTCATATAATATTTTAAAGCTTACCTCCATAACTTTAGGAGTAAGAGGAAAAGACAAATATTTTTTCCTTACTCTTTTAAGTTCAACATTGTAAAAATCCTTAAACAGGAATTCTCTTCTAATTAGATTTGGAAATTGTGACTGTAAAATGAAGTTCTTGATGATTTTGTCAGAGCATTTGCTATCACAGAAAGCATAACCATTGACAGACAGTTGCCTCAGTTTTGGAGAAGTTCTGGAATATATAATTAAAGCCTATTTCAATTGAAAGTTACAGACACAAATTAATAAAGAAACATTTAAAAATGTGTCCAGTGCATTGAAACCAAAAACAACAAAGAACATTTAAAAGGCTTTTAAAAGCCAAAAAGCCCAAGATCTCAAAAATCTGGTCATGGTGCATGAGAAATCACAAGGAAGAAATACTGAACAATGCTGGAAACTTTCAATGACTTCCATAGTATTTTTTGTTTCTTTGGTTGCTGGCTTCCAACATTATTCAGTATTACTTTGTCTTCGACAGAATTTCATAAAAGTTAAGAGCCACTTGAGTGTAAATCGTGAGGAAATTTTCATTTTTGGGAGAACCATCTATCCCTTTAAACCATGCATTTCTGTACCACAAAGAGATTAAAACCCAATGTCTTTCAAGCCTTCATGCATGTTATGTCCAAGTTTAAAAAGCTAACACTGAATGGGGCGCTTCATTCACGGAGGCCCCTTTGTGCGCCTCCCCCCGCTCTCGGCGAATGGTTCACTCCGAAGACACGGAGCATGTGAATCAAAATGAAAACACTGAGTGCCATCAGATACACACTAGGAAGAAAGGAAAACCGGAGGGATGCGAAAAAGCCAGGGTTATCATGATATCGAATCAATATGAAAGCATCTGGACCCGTTTTAACCATTTAAGTGAACCGGTTTCACGCTGTAGGCTCAACATCGTGACACACTAACGTTAGTTGTCTTGTTATTAGATCACAGACTGGATTCTGAATGCTTCGGAATGAGGGAAAACATTGTCACAAAAGGATGCTAAAACTGAATTATCAGTGCTTGCTGTAAGCAAATAAACCCTCTGCTGTCGAGCTGTCACGGCGGTAAGTTATGTGATTTTTTTCATCATGTAACGTTAAGTTCTTTATAAGCCTGATTTTAAACTGTTGTTTTAACCAAAGTAGTTTGTAAACCCTTTCATTTCATAAAAATATTCTGCATGTATTTTTGGTATCACTAACCCTTATACGGTTATATGTTGGAGGGTTTGTGCAGTCCTTTGTCCAGTGTGGTAAACGTTACTTACAACGTACATGACGAATTACCATGCTATACTGTAGTAAGGCTATCTCACAAGGGGAAAAGTGCTTTTAAGTAGGTTGTCTCGAATTTCAAATCTCATTCATATGTACACCAGATGATGGTTTTTTGGCAGCGTATTCGCTGTCGTTGAGCCATTGTTCAGCCCATTGTGTGGCTCTTTTGTTTCTCGCGCTGTGTACATTAAGCCGTATAGGGTTGTTTTTCTTCTATGGTGTGCATCTTAGCTGAGCTCCGTGTCACGACAGCAGCAACAAGCTGCCAGTACAATATGTACCGTTACATCCCTTGGTGGTGTAAAAAATATTGCCAACATTTCTGTCGTTGTCCGCCGTGAAAACAAGCGGGATTGATCGCGAGCTCGATAGCTGGAAGAAGTCACGTGTTCATCACGACAGAACTCGCTTATTGTTTTGTTATCTGTCAATGTTATCCTGTATAAACTCTAATAAATATTTCTACATAGGCAGATAAATATGGTTTACATCATTATGTTATTAATAGTTACATTATGTTATATTTAACAGGGGTGCTTAAAGGTGTCTATATATATTTCAGGATCGTTTTCTTTTGTTTACTTCTTTACTTGAGTCATCTGAGGTATAATCATGGTGGTTTTAAGTTGTAATGAAATTTTACAAGGTTAATTTAGTTTTTTTTACTGATTTGCATAATTTGAATAAAAAAAAACAAGTTTTAAACTTAATTGCAGTCATTTTCAAGTCAGGATTAATATAATTTGAAAATGTTTCTACCATAGAATTTTAAGTTAAATATGTCCATACTTTTAGCAGCTATAGCCTATGGGACTCCTGCTCTCTGAAATTGCCCTCTTGGTTTAGAGACTTCACTGAATACAGGGTTTATGTACTGGTGTTGAAAAAAGTCCACATTCACAGTTCAGACCTGATCTATTTCTGCCTGATACAGTACAATTTTTAGGGCAAACATTTTTGAAAGAATCTATGTCTGACACCTTTTACATTTAAGGCATAATTCAGACAAAAAAATAATTTCTGGCTTATTCAACCTTGACTTGTTCCAAAGCAGTTTGAGGTTTTGTTTATTTTTTTTTTAAAGAAAATTTATGGAAAACCAACCATTGACAACCATATTTAAAAAAAAATCAACAACACTATGAATGTTACCGGTAGGACGGTTTGATTTGTAGAAAATATCTAATTGCGATTTAATTTTTTTTATTTTTTGACAGATATTTTGATTTGATTTGCAATTTAATTTTGTAGTCAAGCTTCAGCTCAATAGTCTGTATTATAGCTTTTTACTGCTAAAATGCAGTGAGTGTTAATACAAAAAAGCAACTGAAAAGATATGGACTTACACATTTATTAAAATTTATTTTTAAAAATTCAGAAATAAAGCACTCATTTTTCTCTAGAGCAAACAGTAAGCACAAATAAAATGGCCTTACCTTTCTGTAAACAACTTCAATTAGGTAGATAGTGTAGCTTATTATTTACATTTACATTTAGTCATTTCGCAGACACTTTTCTCCAAAGCGACTTACAAATGAGGACAAGGAAGCAATTTACACAACTATAAGAGCAACAATGAATAAGTGCTGTAGGCAAGTTTCAGGTCTGTAAAGTCTAAGAAGGAAAGTATTAGTAGTATTAGTATTTATTTTTTTTGGTACAGTTAGTGTGATATTCAGAGATATTATATAAACAATAATCTAATAATTATAAAAATACAGAACACTCAGCAATCTAACATGGATAAAACAACTATGAAATTGTACTTTGCTGTTGCTTACTACTACATTGAGTGTCATGGCAATACTTTTAGTTGACTTTTTAGCAAGACAGTCATCACTCTATTGTGCTCACTCAAATGGCTAGTAAGACTATCACACACAGACGACAGTCAAGCATTTGCTTTGGGCAGGGAAAATTAATTAAATAATCCAAATGTATTTCAACCTCGTGTTTAGATATTCGCAACATTTCAAATCTCGATTGCGATTCTATTTCAATTAATCACACATCCCTAGTTAATGGTTTCCAGCATTCATGAAAATGTCTTCTTTTGCTTTTAAAAGCAAAAAAAAAAAAAAACTAAACCCTTTCAAGGATGAGTAAATTATGACAAAATTTTATTTTTGGGTTGAGTTTATTTCTGTCACAGTAAAGACTTATATTCTCAAACTTGCCAACAGCATTATTGTTGTTAGTTTAGCTAGTAAATAATATTTTTGTATATATTATAAATATTTTTGTACACACTAGTAAATAGTATTTTGTATCCTTAAAATATGTTTACTGAAATATTACTTGTTTCTTTACAATAATTTGAATAATTTACTAACATTCTTCTAAAAAAATAAGTCATCACATAAGTTCTAATGGTTTCCGCTAGAAAGTTACAGCACTAAACTCTAAAGCTTTCATTAATTAAAACTAAATTAATGACATTCAATGTTTTTTTTTTGTTTTGTTTTTTGGTTTCCATTAGGATTTACTGGTTTTATTTGACATGCCACCAAAAGAAGCCATACAATTACCTGTGATACTCGCGTAGATCATTACAGTTTCCATTAGAGCCAATACATTTCATTAATTTTCCATCAGTTTAGTCCCTATGGTTCCCCACAGCGGATTTAAACCGTCAATTTATTCAGCATATGTTTTACACAGCGATATAACAATCCAGTACTGGGAAACACAGACACACTCTCAAAATCACACTCATACACCCCAGGCCAATTCACGTATACCGCTTGTCTTTGGACTGTAGGGGAAACCGGAGCACCCGGAGGAAACCCACGCCAACACGGGGAGAACGTGCAAAGCCAACTGATCCAGCCGAGGCTTAAGCCAGTAACCTTCTTGCTGTGAGGCAACAGTGCAAACCACTGAGCCACACGCTGCTAGAGCCAATACAAATTATATTATAAACAATATAATGATCCTACAAATTCTGTATGATTTTGTATTGCTTTTTCCGCAGAGCGTTTTCGGAATAAAAAGTAAAAGCAAATTCTATAACTTTTGTTTCATGCATATATTATAATTATTAAAAGCTATAAACATGATCAATGTTATGATGGAGAACAGAGCTTTCTGAACTCTTCTACTAATGTGTCTTCTAATGTATTGTAATTCTGGCCATTTTCCAACCACATATCCATTATGAGCCATTTTTAAACAATAGCAAACGAAGCACAATCAAAGCATGACTACGCAAGGACAATACTAAAACAAAAAAGTCAAGTCACAGCAAAGAAAAGTCTTCAAGGATTCCCAAACCGTTGTTCAGAAATGAGGTGCAGCTGCATGAAACAATGCACAGGCTCGTGAAGCGAGGTTGTATGAAAGCTACAGTAAGTGCTGCTTTCCGTAATGATGATTGTTATGTAATAATAGATGGATGAAGGACGCAGCAGAGTTTCCCTCAGAGATCCGTGTATAATTGAGTCAGGCTGCAGAGCACACCAAAACATTTCTGTCTTGGATTTGAGGGAGATTTAAAGACTGAGATTGAGATAGAAAGAGAGAGAGAGAGAGAGAGAGAGAGAGAGAGAGAGAGAATGAAATGATGTGAGGCACTGAATGAATGGATTTGGGGATTGTAGACTGAAGTCAAGACGATCAGCTACAGCGGGAAGAGACATGCAGAGAGGTGAGTGGGAGAGCAAGAGAAAGTCGATGATAAATCCATTAATCCATTTCACTGCTGTTCTGCCCTGCAGTTTTAGTTTGTCCATACTTTAAAACTTGAAACTTCTGCAAAGTAAATAAGAGTGTAGACATTACAATTATATTCTAAATCATTTGCTTATGGAGATAATTAGCAGGAAAATACCTTTCAGGCATACTGATAATGAAAATTTAGCTTTAGAGTGAGCTTTCTTTCTGTTTTATCAGCATTTCTTTAGTTAATTAATGTTCTTTAGTTTCAGTAAACCAAATGAAAATGGAAATTAAACGCAAGGCAGGTTTGTTTATATAGCACATTTCATACACAGTGACAATTCAAAGTGCTTTACATAAGCAAAAATAAAAAAAGACAAGTGTAAGAAAAATAAAAACAAATAATAAAAAGGATTAAAAACAGACTAAAATGTGTTAAAACAGGTTATAAAAGAATGAAAAAGAAATGAAAGACACAATAGTGCGATCTGTCAGACGTAGCACAGTGCTCATTCAGTAAAGGCACAGCTAAACAGATGTGTTTCGATTTGAATGTGCTTAATGTTGGAGCACATCTGAACATTCCTGGAAGCTGATTCCAGCAGTGAGGGGCATAGTGGCTAAAAGAAGATTCACTAAAAGCAGATAAACCAAAAAATTAAAATAAAGAACTGTTTTATGGTGCATTCTGTTCTTTACTGTACCGTTTTATGTAAACATAAGGTATATTCAGTAAAAGTGAAGTGTCTACTTCAATGTTTAACTTAAAATAAAATGTCAAAAATGTTAGGGAAATATTTAGGTTCCCTTGTTTAGCGTTGCAGAAATATTTATGTATATTAAACAAGATACTTATTCCGACATGTAATAAGTAAAGCATATAAGAGTGTTACAAATATGTGTTTTAAATGATTAAAACAAAAATACCATATGAAAAATTTGTAAAACTTGCAAGGTATGAAAATGGATTAGTATTTGAGCCATCACTGTGTGTGCATTGTTTGAGTGTGTGCTACATGTAAAAAAATCACTGTTGCTACTGGTTTAAACTATTTATTTAAATTGAGTTGGAACAACTTAATTCTTAATGTTTTTTTGAGTACAACTTTATTTTTTTATTAAATAAATAA